AATTATAGGCTGAATCAGTCTGGATCCAATCTGGAGAGATAAATCACACAATAGTTTGATCAGAGAGAGTTTAATATACGGATTTATTAACTGTAATGGGACTGAAGTAATGAGGGATTGTCTAAAAACAAAGAAGTAAAAAGAATTCTAAATATAGGAATAGCAGCTATAAAAAGCAGCCACTCACTCCTAGGGCTAAGATAAAACATTCAAGGAAGAAAGGGGTAGAGCCTGACCAGTAAATGAAAAATAAATTAAAGATAATAATAAAGGGAGAGGGACTGCATGTCGAAATACTAGTCTTGTTATTTAAGATTGTCCCCATCCCTAACACTTGGACAGAGTGAAGTCATGAGTCACTGGATTGCTGAGTTGTTGACCAACAGAACTTGCTGAAACTGTACCTTCTAAGATGCCAAGCGTTGAAAATGGCTGTCTTGTGCATATAATCTTTTTACCCCTGGCTGCCACATAATGGGCCTTGGGCCTGGAATACTTCCTAATGGAGAGAGAGTCTTCCTAGCCTGTACTGGGTTTATCGCCTTGCATGGGATTACATTTTCCTATTTTAGATACAATATGTACTCCTTTGTTCTGCTTAAGCACATTTATCACTGGCCCTCAGGCATGTCCCCAGATTTCTATATGTCACATCCCATTGGGGAGACGGTCAGGGTCTTTCTACTGCAGCAGAAAGTGAGGTGTATGCAGCTACACAACCCGGGTTGACTTAGAATGAATCCACTCTTCCTTTCCTCTTGCTGTAAATAAACACTGTACCACTTGAGCCTGGTGTAGCTATGGTCTGTTCTCCGTGGCCTCAAATCATGCATTGGTCTCTTCCCCAGGTAATGCTTACATGCCTTTTAACTTTGACCACACAGCTTGGCCACTCAGTGAACGGTGTAACACCAGGCAAAGCTGTTGACAGAAGGTGTTTCAACAGAGGTGCTCTGCTACAAAACTACCTCAGGGTGTTATCTGGAAAAGCTGCTAGCCGGGGTGGCAGTGGAGGGAGGGGGCAGTGCTGCAGATGCCAAGTGCTAGAGAAGCCACCTGCACAATAGGACCAAATGGTGAAGTTGTGAGTACTGTATGATCCTGACACTGGGAAAATCGTCTGTACTGAAAACTTGACAAGCAAGCACAACAGAACCAGGTAGAAAAGCCCCTCCCCTTCAACACAGAATCTTCTACTGACAAAGTGTGACATCATTCCAGCTGTCAAAGGAAAAACGTTTCAAGGGCAAATCTCCACTCTTGCAGAGTGGGCAATAAAGAGTGGACTTGGAGTTGACAGACAATAAATTGATCATTAGCACATAAATAGTTGTTCTTTTATATCTAGAGTGAAGGCAAAATCCTATTGTACTGGATACTCTTGCTGGTTATTTAATCAGCTGTTTAACTTTTAAATAATTTGATAGACTTTACTGTAGAAAAGGGCACAGATATTTGCTGCTGTTTGGGGTTCTGTGTGGATCCTGTTTTAGACCTATCATTCCAAACTGCTATCTTCATGCACTGTCAAACATGGCTACACACCGCACTGTGGGTCATCTGCCAGAGCTTCAACTGTCATCTTCAATAGGTAGCTTATTGTTGTAACAACATGCATCCTTTTTTTCCCTTCCTTCCTCCCTTCCCTCTAAAAAGCAATTTTTGAATTCCTGATATGGTACACATGCGTTTTTATATGCTTGCTGTAGATAAACAACGTAGTTAGGGAAGGGGACAATTTTAAATAAAGTGGTCAGGGAAGGATTTACTAAGTAGGTAACATTCAAACAGAGATCTGATATCTCTAGCGGAAAAGTGCTCCAGGTAGAGGGAACAGCAGGGGTGAAGGGAGACCTTGGTTATGTGTTTTCAAGGAACAGCAAAGAGGCCAAGGGGTTTGAAGCAGAGAGAGGAAGAAAGCAGTCAGCAATGAAGTCAAAGATATAACAGCCTGTTTGCATGAGCGTGGGAGGCACGTGCTTCACTATGTACAAATAATCTCAATGCAGTAATGGTTAGAATGTAGGGTAATTTAATCTGACAGTAATTCAGCATCTTCTCTTAACTTAAATAAGGTGTTCTATTGAATTTTCATTGCCAATTTGTCCACAGTGATGCCAATTATAAACTCTTACTTCAGCTTTTCTTGTTTTTTGAGACAGAGTCTCGCTCTGTCACCCAGGCTGGAGTGCAGTGGCGCAATCTCAGTTCACTGCAACCTCTGCCTCCCAGGTTCAAGCGATTCTCCTGCCTCAGCCTCCCAAGTAGCTGGGACTACAGGCATGTGCCACCATGCCCGGCTAATTTTTTTTTTTTTTTTGTATTTTTAGTAGAGACAGGGTTTCACCATATTGGCCAGGCTGCTTTTGAACTCCTGACCTCGTGATCCGCCTGCCTTGGCCTCCCAAAATGCTGAGATTACAGGTGCGACCACCGCACCCAGCCGGCTTTTCATTTCTTGAAGAGACTGGAACAACAAATCTTCATAGATCTAAACTAACTTACATTTTAAAATATAAAACTGTGTGCCTTGCCAACAGAATTTTTTTTTTTTTTTTTCTGAGACAGAGTCTCACTTTGTCACCTAGAAGTGCAGTGGTGCTATCTCGGCTCACTGCAACCTCCGCCTCCCAGGGTCAAGCGATTCTCCTACCTCAGCCTCTGAGAAGCTGGGATTACAGGCACCCACCACCACGCCCGGGTAATTTTTGTATTTTTAGTAATGGAGTTTTGCCATGTTGGCCAGGCTGGTCTTGAACTCCTGGCCTCAAGTGATCTACCTCCTTGGCCTCCCAAAATGTTGGGATTACAGGCATGAGCCACCGCGCCTGGCCACCAACAGATTTTTTAACCCAGAATTTGACAGTAAATAAGTGTTACATCTTTTAAAACAAACACCTTCAAAGAAATACATTAATGCAGAAATATTAAACATATCATTTTTATTAAAGTATATCAACACCTAGAAACAATAAAGGGTACATGATGAATATGTATAAAAATAAGTAACTCAAAGCTTTACTTGAAATAGAAAAGTCTAACTATAAGTTATTTTTTAAGTGTACATCAATGGAAACAAACCATAAATTTGCTGATTATAATGCCATTTTATGTATTGCAAGAATATACAGCTTCAAAGTCTTCTGGTTTAAATTCCTAAATAACTACAGGGTAACTAAATATGTTCAGGATCCTTCAGGCACAAAAATCAACTATTTAGAGTCACCTGGAACAAATAAATAAGTAATCATACCACATTTCTGTTGTTTTTAAATTTATCATGGTTTTGCTTATAAAGGTATTGACTCATTGGGTTAACTCTGTAAGGTTATAAGATGATATCTGATTTATACTTGCTATATTTATGACTACCTATATACATTTGAACAATCTGAGTTACAAATAATCATGCTGACAAATTCAGGTTTCCCCACTACCACTGAAATGATCAGAGTCTAAGCTGAAAAAAAAATCCGTATTCATACATTTTAATCAAGGTTCAGTAGGGAAGAAGGGAAGAAAAAGTAAAACTGCAAACAAAATGTTAAATACTATACTCCATTTCCTCTGAAATATTTGTCTTTGAATTATTATGTTGGTCTAAATTTTGCCTCCAAAAATCTAAGAAAAATATTGTTTGGGTTTTCCAAAAATCTACATACTTCTTGAGTTTTTTATTCAAATATTATGTAATCAGAAACCTATTTTAAAGCACAAAATTAGAAAAACATTTAAAAATTATTAACTTCAATTAATCTCAGATAAATAGAATTGTATTGTATGCTCCACTGCCTTTGTTCTACTCATCTTTTTCAGTTTGTTGTTTAAAGCCTCTATATTTGTTTTCAATGTTTAAAAAAGACATACTGTTTTCATTTTCCCTTTCCTTTAAAAAATGGCAGAATAATCTATTTAAAAACAAAGAGGCAAAAACTCCTTGAAATATTTTTCCTCTCATTTAAAACGGACCTATATTTGGTGTACATATCTTTTAAGTTTACAATATGTGAGAAAGAGGATCGTAATGATAAAGATCCTTTTTAAAAATAACCAGGAATGACAGAGTGATTTATCTCCATGGGAAGTGCAATAAACATATTATATAGTATATACGACCTTATGTTTTACTTGGTGCCCCTAAAAGACTGAATTATATTCGTTGATCTATTTTAATACAGTGAACTACAATTTAAGGTTAAAACAAACTTCAGGCTCAAAGCACTTCTGTAGAAGATACAAAAGACAAATGTTTGAATCTTACCCAGGTCACTACAAGCAACTACTAAGTATATAAACCACAGACATAAATACTACACAATCCAGGCCAGGTGCAGTGGCTCACACTGTAATCCCTGCACTTTGAGAGACCAAAGCGGGTGGATCACTTGCCGTCAGGAGTTCGAGACCAGCCTGACCAGCATGGTTAAACCCCGTCTCTACCAAAAAAATACAAACTTAGCTGGGCATGGTGGCACATGCCTGTAATCCCGGCTACTTGGGAGGCTGATGCAGGAGAATCGCTTGAAGCTGGGAGGCAGAGGTTGCAGTGAGCCAAGATCACGCCACTGCACTCCAGCCTGGGCAGTAAGAGCAAAACTCTGTCTCAAATAATAATAATATCATTAAGAGCAAAACTCCATCTCAAACAATAATACACGATCCATTATTAACAAATTCTATCAAGGCTTCATGTGACATTTAATGGCTGAAAACTAAACAGGACTCAGCAAAATAAAATGTATTTAAATACATGCTTTCTTGTGAAAGAAGGCTCATCCAGTGATACTGACCATAGAGAGAAACTATACATCACTCTCATACTTAAGAGGGTTCTGCCTGCCTTGGTTGGCTTCAAAGAGCTCCTGTAGGTTGATTATATTTAGACTGGTTCTCAGCAGAAGCAAAGAGTTCATAACATTACAAGTGATGGCATCTTGTCAGGGTGTAAGCAATCTCAAAACATAACTTGCATTTATTACTTCTACTTTTTGCTCATGACAGCACATGAAAGCCTGCCTTCTCAAATGCACAGATGTGCTCAATATGCACTTTCCATCTATGCTTGCTCTCTATAATGTATATTTAAGAAGAGCTCAAGACTTTTAAAAATAAAATCTACATGGCAATGGTATCTTCTAAGTCATGAAAAACTATTTGGAAACTATCAGGCCAGGCACGGTGGTTGACGCCTGAAATCCTAGCACTTGGGAGGCTGAGGCGGGAGTTTGAGATCAGCCTGGGCAACATGGCAAGACTCCTGGCTCTACAAAAATAAAAAATAAAAAATTAGCCAGAGGTGGTGGCGCACAGCTGTAGTCTCAATCACTCAGGAGACTGAGGTGGGAGGATTGCTTGAGCCCAGGAGGTAGAGGCTGCAGTGCATTGTGTTCATGCCACTCCACTCTAGCCTGGGTGACAGAGCAAGACCCTGTCTCGAAAAAAAAAAAAAGAAAAGAAAAGAAACTGTCTTAATTAATTAAGTATACCTTATTCTGAAGAAAAAATCAAAATCTTTAAGCAAATTTACAATGTACAAAGCTCAGTCCTGCAAATATGGAGACATTAAAGAAAAAAGAACCTATTCAAAGGCCAAAGATAAAACTATAAATGACTGTGGGTTTCCTAAAAGTATATTTAAAGTTTCTTACAAAACCATAACCCTTCTACCCTAAAAAATATGTTCTCTGGTAGAATACTGAAGTAGAAAACAGACCACTGAACAATGATCTCGTAGTATCAAACATTTTCTCAAACAATTATGACATAGGATCAAAAAACAGAATGCTAGGCACCCAAGATAAAAAGCACAAAATGTAGGAGAATAGATCACCTATTCAAAGAACCAAAGCTCACAAGAATGTATGAGAGAACATCTATACATTAAAAAAAAAAAAAAAAGAAAGAAAGAAATGCAGATAATAGAATTGAAAAAACCAAAATGAGGTCGGACGCAGTGACTCACGCCTGTAATCCCAGCATTTAGGAAGGCCAAGGTGGGTGGGTCACCTGAGGTCAGGAGTTCAAGACCAGCCTGGCCTACATGGTGAAACTCCGTCTCTACTAAAACTACAAAAATTAGCCGGGTATGGTGGCAGGCACCTATAATCCCAGCTACTTGGGAGACTGAGGCAGGAGAATCGCTTGAACCCAGGAGGCAGAGGTTGCAGTGAGCCGAGATTGTGCCATTGCACTCCAGCCTGGGTGACAACAGCCAAATTATATCTCAAATAAAAAAAAAAAAAAAAGAAGAAGAAGAAGAGGAAGAAAACAAAATGAAAAGTGTATATTTTTCATAAGAGAACACAGGAATTTTGTGAATAGTGTAGCCACTATATAAATATTGTATAAACCTTCAGATACTGGTTATCTCTTTTGGGAGATTTAAGGTATTCATTTTTAATCTTAAAAAGATTCTTTAAAAAGAAATTTACTTCCCTCTGAAATAGTAAGTTAAGTAGCACTTCAAGCTTTTCCTTCATAAAAACAGTTGCTGGAACAGAAAAATAGGCTTATTAATTAAATGATTCTCTCCATGCTCTAAATACACATTTTAAATCTAAACCTTTTTCTTCTACAGAAAACAATGATTACTAGTACTTTGTTGTTTTTCCTTAGCAATTTAAAAAAGCATGTAATCACACATTATAATAACAATGAGAAAGTAACGACATTTGAAATTTACTTATACAGTAGGTCAGGACATTCAAATTGACCTCCATTTATGCATTAAAAAGGCAAGAGAAAAAAGGGAGTTTTGCTAGTCTACTCTCCAAAGAAGGGAAAAGATGGCTATAGAAGCCAGTTCAGAAACTACAGTTGTCCATTGTCTGCTATAATGCAACTCAAGAACTGTTCTCCTGTATTCTGTCACACTTATTGCTTTCTTTGCCCTCTTGATATGTACGAAGCTGCTCCATGAAGCCAGAATTTGGACATATGGAAGGTCTTGCATTTTTCACCAAAGAAAAAGCACTGGTAAATGAGGTTTGTTCAGAACTCATCAGGAAGCCTATTACAATTGCAGCAGCCCTGGAAACTCCTGCATTACAATGAACAAAAACCACTCCACCCAAAAAAAAAAAAAAAAAAAAAAAAAAAAACCTTCATTATTCATTTGAGAAAGATTATTAAATCAATTGCACATTCTTATACTACTTGAAATTATAAAGTAAATATTCAGTTTTATCGATTTATTTGATTCAACTTATTTGATTACTGAAATAAAATTCATTACCCGCAACAAATGGAAACTCAATCAGTCAATCAATCAATTAACCTATACCTCCCTTACCTACTAACCCATGATTGAAATGCTTTAATGATTTGGAATTCTGAAACAGTACCTTTCATTAAACTAAAGTAATCCAGTAAAGAACACATTAAAACCTAACAACTTAGTAGCCAAATGTATCAGTAAACACAAAAACCTAATAACTTAGTAGTCAAATGTATCAGTAAAGTACACATGAAAACCTAACAACTTAGTAGCCAAATGTTTCGGTAAAGTACACATAAAACCTAACAACTTAGTAGACAAGTGTATACAAATAAGAAAAAAAACACAGGAAATATATGTAAAAACATAAAATCATAACTATAAACAGAAAGCCAGAAATACTCCAGAGTATACTTAGTGTTCTCATAAATAAGCTAGTGTCAGTGGCTTGCAAATCTGTTTAAATAATCAGCAAGGAAAAAATGTTTCACCCTTGGACATATTTTATTCTTGGAGGAAGTTATTTAAAAATATTTACACTTATGAGGTAGTAAAATGTGACACAAATAGTTCATAACAATGTGAAGTGGAAAAGGTAATCAGACACCAGCATGAGGTCAATAAATGAAAAAACGTTTCAGGTAACTTGCAAATGATACTTTCCAAGTGAAAAGAGACACAGCGCAAGACCAGTGCTGATGGGGGCAATATTGTATTAATAATGAATGTGATAGATCTGATGGGACAGCATTGATACAGCTTGGCCCATCTGAAGCCTTTAAAAAGTTAATGATCTAAATGAAACATGGTGAACTGTGAGCATACCCTCCAGAATTAGACATTTTAGTTACTTCATTTCCTGATTCTTTATTTGGTACAACACAAAAAACGATGAGAGCAGGAGGAAAAAAATATGCTACCAAAAACCCTCTACCCAGAGCACATATTAACAATACTACTGTTATGACTTATCAGATTATTTTACTTCTGCAAGGCAGTTTTCTGATTCATACATCTGTTGCAAAACTCCTTTCCTTGATCTGCTGTAACAAACTTGCAAGTGCATCTCTTTTCAAGAAAGGCAAATTTTTAATAACAAAATTAGTTAACATTTTGAAAATCCTCATATAAAAAAGGACAATATCAATTGCTTTCTTTTTTCACATCTTACATTACTATGGGGTATACTGTTTTCTATAGATATTTATGACTCCTTTTCAAACTTCGACAGTTTCTATATAAGAAAAGCAAAACACAAATATTCACTATACACCTTGGAAACTTTTCTCATTTTGTAGCAATAGCCCATTTTTACAAAACTTAAGATGTTTAAAAATTATATTAAGGTAACTGATGAAAATTATTAATGAACTTCATTTAGCATAAAACAAATTAATTAGATACTCCAAAGAAACTTGCAATCATAAGCTTAATAAGCAAGAGATACCCTTCAATGTCACTTTTAATATTTCCTGCTTATATACTAGTCAGCTTTACTTTATGATCCACACATAGGCTTTTGAACATGAAACTAGTTTTATTTTCAGTCTTACACAATGTGCATCCAATTTTAGCTAATGCTTTAAAATGATATTATTTTCTTCGTCTTTCTACTTTATATAATAGCTGTTTTTCTACAGCTTTTCAATTTACCTACTTTCTACCTTTTGATTAGTCGTTAGGTATCATATTGTCCTTGAAAGTATTTCCAGAGAAATTATTGGCTTTGTATCCCTTTTTCAGAGCTCAAAACAGTAACAAACAATTTATAAAGCATTTTTTTTCTTTGCATTTGCTGTTGTCCTATGCCTAGAAGACCTTTGTTCTTCTTGGTACAGCTAATTCTGACTTCTGTTCTAAGACTGCCTCTTTCCAAGTGAAATGAGGGCAGGAGGGATGTCTTGGCCATCTTTGTATGCCTAGTAGTTAGTGCAATTCTTGGCATACAGTAGGTATTCCGTAACTGTTTGCTAAGTGAATAAATTTGTTCTGCATTTCTGAAAGGAAAGTGTTCTTTCAAAAATTCAAAATCACCATTTTGCTATGGGCAAGTAGTAACTTATAGGCAGATAGTAATTACGCTATGTTATTTCCATTTCACAGAGTTGTCTCTGTTCTTGTGCCGTTACAGTTTTCAACTAGATCTCAAGCTCCTGGAGGGCAGCAATGTGTATCCCTCACATCTTCTCAGAATAAGTAATTAATATTCCTTAACGGTAACTGAGCCAAGCCCAGGTGTTTTTCCTTACATTTAACTTCCATTAAAACTTTAGCATCTCCAGGCATGGTGGCTCACACCTGTAATCCCAGCACTTTGGGAAGCTGAGGCAGGTGGATCACAGGTCAGGAGTTTGAGACCAGCCTGGCCAACATGGTGAAACCCCATTTTTACTAAAAATACAAAAATTAGCTGGGCATGGTGGTGGGTGCCTGTAATCCCAGCTATTTGGGAGGCTGATGCAGGAGAATCGCTTGAACTCAGGAGGCAGAGGTTGCAGTGAGCTGAGATTGTGCCACTGCACTCCAGCCTGGTTGATGAGTGAGACTCTGTCTCAAAACAAACAAACAAACAAACAAAACAAAAACAACAACTTGGGCATAAGCACTACTCATAATAGCAAAGACATGGAATCAACTCAATGCCGATCAACGATAGTCTGTATAATGAAAATGTGGTACATATACCCCATGGAATACTATACAGCCATAAAAGGAATGAAGGGACATAGATGGAGTTGGAGCCATTATCCTTAGCAAACTAACACAGGAACAGAAAACCAAAGACCGCATATCTCACTTATAGGTGGAAGCTGAACAATGTGAACACATAGACACATGGAAGGGAACAACACAAACTGGGGGCCTGTCAGGGTGGGGTGGGGTAGGAGGAGGGAGAGCATCAGGAAAAATAACTAATGCATGCTGGGCTTAATACCTAGGTGATGGATTGATAGGTGCAGCAAAGCCCCATGGCACACATTTACCAATGTAACAAACCTGCACATCCTGTACATGTGCCCCAGAACTCAAAAAAACCTTGGGTATAATGTGATAGTCTGCAAGTGCCTGACAGCCACCTATGATGAAATAAGAATTCTGCAGTGGAATGAAAATCAATTGTCACTAAAAATATACTCCTTAGTTCAGCGTTTGGGTGGGGTGGGGGAGTAGCCAAAATCTCTCAAAGAACTAAGCAATGTCTTGGTTTATATTCAGGCACAACCTTCTTATCCTGCAGAGATCTGGTAGCAAATTGGACAACACTACGAGGAGCACAGGTCACAACAGTCCACTCATGGCTATCCACAGTAGTAGAGGTGAATGTAAATATGACAAACACAAAAAAAGTGATGGGTAGGCTGCTTTGAAACAAACTGGAAGAAGTAAGGCAAGAGAATAGGGTCTGGCAGCAGGGAACCTAAGGCTGTTTCACGCAGACTTCCTAGAACTAAATTCAAAGGAAAACCCTAACATTCCTTCAACACCTAAGTAACGAAACGACCAGAGGGCTACTGCCTTTGCAAACCCCCCACCTTTTCTGCATGCAGATGGGAAATTTGCTGTCCACAACCAATCATACTGATTGCAGGCCAAGTCTTCGTTTGCATAGAAGTGTAACTTTGTAACTTCATCCTAGCCGCTCATTGGTTGCTTTTTGCAACCAATCAGATGTTTGCACAGGAGCCTGACCTTTGTAACTTCACTTCAGCCTCTGGTTGGCTGCTTTCTCTAACCAATCAGACTGATTGCAGGATACCACTTCCTTTACATGAGGTGAGCATGAAGTGGCCATTGGGAAACTTCTAGCGGATATTTGGACCCAAGAAGTTTCTGTATCCTGTCCCTTGGGCCGCTGCTTGGGCCTGCTCCCAAACTGTGGAGTGTGCTTTCGCTTTCATTAAATCCCTGCTTTCACTCTTTTGTTGCTTCATTCTTTCTTTGCTTTGATGGGTGTTCTGTCCAATTCTTTGTTCAAAATGCCAAGAACCTGGACAACTTGCAGTCAGGACCCTCTATTGGTAACAGAAGCATCTAAAAACTTAGTGAATTTAGGTACTTATTTAGACCCATAATGTTTCTCTAACGAACTTTTACTTATATTGAACAAAAAACTACAAACAGCTTACATGTCTCACAGTAGAAAATAAGATAAATTATAGAATCACCAACTACCAGAATACTGTGCAAAAAATTAAAATGATTTGAATCATTAAGTATAAAAAGCAGGCTATACAGAGGGGACCAGGGCCAGAGATGGGACCAGGAAGGAACTGAGGACCAAGAAGTGCAAATATCAGTATCCAGGACCAGAGTGGCTGCCCGAAGGTCTGGATCTCACATGTGATGTCACCCTGTCAGCCCTCCCCTCCTGAGCAGGGATCCAAGAATGTGCCAAGAGTCCTGCTGGCCTCAGCCAGGTGGGCCTGTACATAGGGTCCATGTGCAATAGGGAGGGACATCTTCTATTTTTTGCTGCCCCCTCCCAGCCCACTGTCTGGGGCAGGGGGAGAAGGTATTTTCAAGATGAAGCACAGGTACCACAAATAAAAGTCATGAAGTTGCAAAAAAAAAAAAAAAAAGGCAGGCTCTAAAAGAATATAAACTGTATGATACTATTTTTATAAAAATACATATACAGGTCTAGAAAAATATATCAAAATGCTAACAATGGTTATATCTAAGTGTGGAAGTATCTTAATTTTTTCCATTTTTTTCTACAAAGAACATGGACTACTTACATCATGTTTTAAAAATCATATCATAAATAACAAACATGAAATATCAAATATACATTGTCATACATTGTACCTTTTGCACGTAAAAAGAGGGGACAAATAAATTTAGTTTCTAAAAGGACTCTGGGCTATAGAGGTTACCATTATTGTTCCTCTCAGGTGTATTTCTGTCCCTTTAGGCATAAAGGAAGGACAGAGAAACCAAACAGAGTTTTGCAAGTACAGAGGGAAATGAGGGAAGACTTGGGAAATGGAAACCATTCCATTTGGCAATGGTATGTAAAAAGATAAAAACAACAAACTAGGCCTAGAAAGGTAGTTTTGAAACATGTAATTCACTGAGTAATTAAATTTAACAATATTTGAATATAAAATAGACAAAGGCATGAAGAGATCTTTTCTAACACAAATGAAAAAAATTCAAGAATTCTATTGCTAAAACTAAATATATATTAGCCTTCCAGGCATGATGGCTCATGCCTATAATCCCAGCACTTTGGGAGGCTGAGGCAGGTGGATCAATTAACATCAGGCACTTGAGACCATCCTGGCCAACGTGGCAAAACCCCGTCTCTACTAAAACTACAAAAATTAACCAGGCGTGGTGGCACGCACCTGTAATCCCAGCTACTACGGAGGCTGAGGCAGGAGAATCACTTGAGCCCAGGAGGCAGAGTTGCAGCAAGCTGAGATTGTGTCAATGCACTGAGTTTTCAGGGCAGGCAAATACTGGCTGACGTTAGGATCCCAGTATAAAACATAAGGCTTGAGAGGGTAGAACATATTGCTGAAATCTAATTCATCTTATCAGAAACATTTTCTGCAACTCCTCAGATTCTTGTGGTGCTGCCATCTCACAGACCCTCTCAGCACACTCCACCTCAGGTACCACCTCCATGGCTGACTGCTCTCCCCGTAGGTCCATTCACTTTTGCCTGTCAAAGAAGGAGCTCTTCTTCAATGGTGTCCACAGCATAGACAGGCGTACTCTGAGTCCTGGATTTTCTATTTCTCAACTTGGTTGAAAAGTTGTATTACAGGGTGTTAGATTTGTCTTTGAGATGGCCGCTGAAGGAGTGGAATGTAATAACCCAGAATTGTGGGGTTGGTTATATCCCCACTGGCAAACTTTGACCAATGGGAAACAAGCTGACAGGAAGCCAGGCAGATAAATTCTCTCGCCTTCCTCCCTCCCAGGCTGGGTTGAGGTGCAGTTTCTTGGTACTGCCTGTCCAGAGATATTTTGGGTGGTAGAGTAGCCACACCTGCCGAATAGCCAACAGTCAGCTCACTGTGCAATGAGCCCAGCAGGGTAAACGCATCACTTTGTGTTCCTTCTCGTCCCACCTTGAATCACTTTCCTTTCTTGCCTCTCTCACTGCCTAGAGATTGTACCTCTCAAATTAAGCATCAGCTCTAAATCCTCATCTCAAGCTTTGTTTTTAGGAAACCCAAGCTAAAATCCACTCTAATTTACTGGCCCAAATTAAGGCAAACTTTAAATTTATTTAAAATTCCACGCTTATTAGAATATTCAATCTCTTGCTTTTCTTTCTAGACAGTATTACCCTGTCTAATTTTTACTTGCAATATTTACATCTCTTCTAATGTTAATATGAATATGGATGATATCTACACTTTCCCATCTCTGGCATATTCTACATCTCCTTAGAGAAGGAGCTAATACAGAAATATCATTTTTATTTTTAAAACTATTAACTTACACACTGGAATGTTACAATCCAGAGCCTGTAAATTTTTTCACAAGAAAACAGAATGGCCAATATTAGGCTTTGAATTAGAAGACCTCTTCCTTGGCCACGTGCAGTGGCTCATGCCTGTAATCCTAGCACTTTGGGAGGCCCCGGCGGGCAGTCTGCCTGAGCTCAAGAGTTCGAGACCAGCCTGGGCAATACAGTGAAACCCTGTCTCTACTAAAATACAAAAAATTAGCCAGGTGTGGTGGTGTGCACCTGTAGTCCCAGCTACTTGGCAGGCTGAGGCAGGAGAATCACTTGAACCCGGGAGGTGGAGGTTGCAGTGAGCCGGAGTTTGCAGTGTGCCGAGATCATGCCACTGTACTCCAGTCTCACAACAGAGCGAGACTCCGTCTCCAAAAAAAAAAAAAAAAAACCACAAAAAACAAACAAACAAAAACCCTCTTCCTTTGCTTCCATTCAAATACAGTCATGCATCATTTAACAGTGGTGATGCATTCTGAGAAATGTGTTGTTAGGCAGTTTCTTTGTGCTGTAAACATCACACAGTGGACTCACACAAACTAGAATGGTATGGCCTATTGCTCCAAGGCTACAGACCTGTTCAGCATGTTACTGTACTAACTTGTAGGCAACTGTAACACAATGGTATGTATTTGTGTATCTAAACATACCTAAACATAGAAAAGGTATGGTAAAAATATATTATTATAATCTTATGGAACCACCATCATATATGCAGTCCAAACATCATTATGCAGCGCATGACTGTATCTGCTATTAAAGTTGATGAACAGTAGAATGGAATAGTTTTATATTTTCCAGGTAGTCTTGTGGGAAGGTAAGTAGAACAGTGCTAGGCACCTAAGGCATTCAATAAATATTACCAAATGAAAGGAAAGAAGGGAGAGAGGGAGAGAAAATGGGAAGGAGAGAAGGTAGAAGGGAGAGAAAGTAGGCCAGAGTTCAATTAAACCTGATTGTAATCCTGTCATTGTTAGGTGTTCCAGAAGAATTATTTCTCTCTGTAAATGCTTCTACTTTCCCACCTACGTATCTTACATAAAATCTGTGAGAATTATTTGCTAACTAAAAATGACGCCATTTCAAGGAATAATTATTGATAACAGCCAACCTAGAAACTTTGCCTGTCAGAATGTTGACTAGAATCCAATAACAAGATTGAAGTACTATATGGCATTGGCCATTGGTCTTCTAACTTCAGAAAACCAACAGACAGCTTCTGATCAGCATTTTCATACAATCTAAGTAAAGCAATACACATTTAGTCCTTAGAGTGCCTTAAAATTTTACTGCTAAAAATGCAGTTTCACAATAACTATCTCATTCATTAAAATGAAATGCATGTTAATCATCATAAATACATTAACAAGTCTAGAGCAGTCTCTGTTTTATAGTCCCCTGAATATCTTGCAGACGGGTCAGAGGTCAGGTGGCTATAAACCCTCAAAGGAAATCTAACTACATGTTTACAGTCGAAAACTCAGTAAGTAGAGGATTTTTATCTCTGAACATTTCTCAGTAAGGCATAGGAAAATGAGAAACTGAATTAATGTTAAAACTAAGTATCTTATTGAAAAAAAGAGCAATTAACCAAATAATTGTAGGAAATAATGAAACATTGTTAGAAGGGAAATTTCATAATGGTTTTTTAGAGATTCATTATAAAAACAATAAAGATTGGGTAATGGATCCATACTTTCAAATTTCTGCTTCTGAAGAACTATGGATCAAAACAAAACTCACTTTTCTTTTTGCTTCTTCAATAAATTCAAAACATTCTGGAAAATAAGACAGGATGTTGGTTTCAGGCAGATCCAATATAGAAATGCTCTTATATGTAAAGTCACTGAGGAAAGCATTTTCAACTCCATATGCAACATTAAGAATATGAGTCACCTTAAAGAGAAAGAAAAAAGATGATTTTTTAAAATCCCATGAATTAGGTTATCTAAAAAGAGACTGGAGTGTTGTGTTGACATCTATAACAAGAAAGGTAAAAAATTTAAATGCGACTCACTTGATTGATAATACTTCTTCAACCCACACCAGAAGTGCTCCTTCTACTATATGTTCTCTCTCTCTCCCCCTCACCCTTTTTTTTAACTTATTATTATCATCATGTAGAGACAGGGTCCCTTTCTGTCACCCAGGCTGGAGCGCAATGATGCAATCATAAGTCACTGCAATCTTGAACTCCTGGGCTCAGGTGATCCTCCCGCCTCAGCCTCCCAAGTAGCTGGGACTACAGGAGTGTACCACCACACCCAGCTAATTTTGTTTTTTTCAGAGAGGGGTCTTGCTTTTTTTGCCCAGGCTGGTCTTGAACTCCTGGCCTCAAGTGACGTTCCCACTTCCACCTCCCACAGTGCTGGGATTACAGGCGTGAGCCATCACACCTGACCTATATATTCTCATAGCCCTGGACTTGCCCTATTACAGCTCATACCACTTAGAGATTGTTTGTCTCTTTCATTGTACTATAAACTACATGAGGGTAGGGACCATGTTTAACTTAGTGTTATAAGCGAATCAGCAGTGAGTTTAGCAGAAAATGCTTAAAATTTTTGTTGAATTAATCTGTGAATATCCATATAAAAAACTTAAATAGGAGAAGTATATCAGTAGTATACAACTTCCCTTTCAAGAATTATTTCCCTATTTTCCTTCATATTCTTTACTTAATAAAATGGTTCTCCAGGATGACTGCACATTAGAGTCACCTGATGAACTCTTAAATTAAAACTATCAATACCACAGGGTCTCATACTCACAGATTCTGGTGAACTAATCTGGCTTTTGTAAGGGGAGGTGTAGTTGTAAAAAATTTTCTTTCAGGTGGTACATTTGAGGAACCTCCTCCTCTTCCATCTGTGTATTTGAGCCCCTTTTCCTAAAGTCCACCAAACATGTGGAAGAAAGCCATGTAAAAAGTCCATTAAGATAATCCAGAGGCTGAGAATCACTTGAACCCAGGAGGTGAAGGTTGCAGTGAACCACGGTCATGTAACTGTGCTCCAGCCTGAGCAACAGAGCGAGACTCCATCTCAAAAAAAAAGAAAGAAAGAAAGAAAAAAAAACTAACAACTTTGTCCACATCTGTACTTCCCCTCTGCCTTCTGATTACAATGAAGGATGTGCTCATGCATCTTCAATAAGGCTCATTCCAGAATCTGTGCTTGGAGTCACAGTGCTTCCTACTTTCTTGGCATATCCTTATAGTCATAATTCTTGCTTTTCTGTATCTTCAATTTCTTCTTCTACCATCAGCCTTAAAACTTGCTGAAAGCTCTCCCATCCCCCTCCTCACCTATAGCTCCTCTCTCTTTTTTTTCCCCTTGCCATCACTTCCTCACTTCTCAATCTTTTGCAATACGGCTTTGGCCTCCAATTCAAATGAAACTGTTTCCACCAAATGCACTAACAACCTCTCTGTCACCAAGTCCCATGAACATAATTTAGGCCTAATCGTACTTAAACTTTTGCAGCATCTGACATTGCTGACTCTCTCCTCCTTAAAACACTATTCTCTTTGGCTTCCACGACACCACCTTTTTGTTTTACCTTCTTTTGGCCTCTTTTGGATCCTCCTTTCCCACTGCAGACTCTTCTTCCTTTGATCATTCCATATAGGGTGATATTCCTCAATTTATCAGTTCTATGATAAGATTCTGTTATAGGCCCTCTTCTCTCTTACTTTACACTTTTCCCCAGGCAGCTTCATCTATTCTAATGATTTCAGTAACTATTTAAAAGCTGAAGATTCCTAAATCTGTATATTCACCTCTATTCTGAACTTCAAACCCTACATATCCACCCACCTAGATGATCCACATCACCCAAAATCTAACATGTTCAAAACTGAGCACACGGTTTTTCCTTCAAAGCCTGTTCCTTCTACGCTGTTTTCAATCTCACGGAACAATAACCTTACTTAGTTACCAAAGAAAGTGAGACATCAGCCTTGACTCCTCCTTCTCCCTTAGCCCCACTCCCTATCCTGCCTCATAAGTAATCAAATTGTGAGAATTCTACCCCCTAAAAACCCCTCACAGCTATGTAATTCTATCTCCACTACATCTTAATCTCAGCCATTGTCATCTTTTCCTTAGATTACTGCAATAGCTTTATAACCATTTTCCCTCTCTAACTTGAGCAACCCTCCAATGGATTTTCCACACTGCTTCTAAGGAGAAATCTTTCTAAATTGCAAATTTGATCTTGTTACATCTCTGGGTAACTTCTCAGTGGCTTTCCACAGTCTTTTGGATCAAATCCAAACAACTAACTCTGGCTTACATGGCCTTTTGGGATCTGGCTCATGCTTACCTCTCTCTCTGGTCTTGTCTCTTAGTGCCCTTCTTTCTCACGCTCTCTATTCCAGGGCCACTGAACTTTTCTGTCCCTGAAAGCATCAGCCTTTCTCTTGCTTCTTGGCCTTCACACATATCATTTATTCTGTGTGAACACTTTTCTTCCCCCTTTTTTTTTTTTTGAGATAGAGTCTTGCTTTGTCACCCAGTCTGGAGTACAGTAGCAAAATCATAGCACACTGTAATCTTGAACTCCTGGGGTCAACCAATCCTCCTGCCTTGGTCTCCAAAAGCACTGGGATTACAGGCTGTCTACTCCTTTCCCAGCCTCTTCAGAGAAATACTTCAATATCACTTCCTCCAGAAAGTCTCCCCTGACTCACCTATCCCCCCAAAAACAAACCAAACCAAACATGGGTTAAGAGCATCATCTCCTCTGCACTTCTATAGCACCCTGCACTTCCCCATCAAAGCACACAAATGCTGTTCTGTAGCTGCTTGTCTGTCTTCCCCGTCTGCCCCTTACGTCATAGGCTTCAAGTGAACAAGAATCTCTTGCACTCCTTCAACTACAGCAATTCCATGACCTGAAACAGTGCTCAACAAAATGGTAGAGGGCTAAAAATTCTTTTGAGTAAATATGTAATAAATCACATCAGTTGTATGGAGTAGAGTGGCTGGAAATGGCATTACAGAAGACGTGGTATGTGAGTTGGGACTTAAGGCCTGGACAGTCTTAGACAAATAGAGATGAGGGAAAGCCTATCCCACACAGAGGAACTCCATAAACACAGGCAAGAAAGACATGCCTCCAAGGTCAGGCTCATGAGGGTACATGAAGGAGATCAAGAAGAATGTAAAACTGGAAAGATAGATTACAGATCCACATATTTGAATTATGTGCCAATTATTTTTCAACTCTATTAAAATGATAACCAAAATGTTACCAAGTAAACTCCATAATGTACCAAAGATGCACCAATACAGTTTTTTCTAAATAAAACAACTAAAATATTCTGTGTATATGGTGCCAAACTTAAAGCATTTTTTTTACCTTGTTCTTTTTCAGTGTATCCAAATCATGAGCAGCATCTTGTGACCCTAGAAAAAATAAATGATACCACCTTGAACATAAATATAATCATCTTGACCTTTTATATAAATTTGTACAGCCATTCTGTTATTAAAAAAAAAAAAAGACGAACAACTTGGAAGGACCTTAGTCCAACTTTCTGAAGGGCAATTTGATAAGGGTCATCCTACATAAACTCTTGGACTCTGAAATCCTACTTCTAAAAATTTGTCCTAAAAGTTACAGATGTTGCAAAGACTAGCTGTAAGAATGTTCACCATAGTATTGTTTGTAATATAAACAAAACAAAAACAAAAGAACAGCAAAAGCCCAATAGCTGTTGCATTAAATAAAAAATGGTACAATTGTGTAGTGAAATACATACAGCCATTACCACCATTAGAAAAAAGAAATGTAAGCCTGAACATTGTGAGACCCTCTCTACAGAAAAAAATTTGTTTTTAAATTAGCCAGGCATGGTAGTGTGTGCCTGTATTCCCAGGTATTCAGAAGGCTAAGGCAGGAGGATCCCTTGAACCTAGGAATTTGGGGCTACAGTAAGCTATGGTTATGCCACTGCACTCCAGCCTGGGTGACACAGCAAGAAAAAGAAAGGAAAGGAAAAGGAAAAGAGAAGAAGGAGAAAGGGAGGGAGGGAGGAAGGAAGGGAAGGAGGAAGGAAGGAGGAAAAGGAAGGGAAGGAAAGGAAAGAAAGAGAGGGAGGGAGAGAAAGAAGAAATGTGGTAAAATATTTATAGCATGTAAACATGTTCTTGGCCAGGAGCGATGGCTCCTGCCTATAATCCCAGCACTTTGGGAGGCTCGGACAGATAGATCACTTGAGGTCAGGAATTCAAAACCAGCCTGGCCAACATGACAAAACCCCATCTCTACTAAAAATACAAAAATTAGCTGGGTGTGGTGGTGCACACCTGTAATCCCAGCTACTCAGGAGGCTGAGGCATGAGAATTGCTTGAACCTGGGAGGCGGAAGTTGCAGTGAGCCAAGATCGTGCCATTGCATTCCAGCCTGGATGACAGAGCAAGACTCCATCTCAGAAAAAAAAAAAAGAAAGAAAGAAAGAAAGAAAAATGTTATCAATGTATCTGGTGATAAAAGCAGGTTACAAAATACTATCATCCATTTTTATAACAACAAAAAATATGTATGTGCTTAAAAAATGGACAGGAAGTATATATAGAACAAAATGTTAATAGTGGGGTTGCAGGTGATTTTTTTTCTTCTTTATGCTCATTCTGACTTTTTACAATAAACATCTCTTTATTTTGTAACTTAAAAAAGGATATTACAAAAACCATACACCCACAAGACGACTTCGTGCCAGCCGGTTTGGGAACACCCAGTAGCTTAGAGCAAATGCTGTTGGCCTGCAGGATCCCACCCACACTCCATGTACCACTAGGGCTGTGCCCTTCTACAATCTTTCTGTCACAGCCGGCTTCCCAGATCTCCCACACTTGGAAACTGGCTCTAGTTAATAAGCAAGTTCATATGGAGAATAACTAGTTCAAATAAAGTGAGTTTCACAGTTTAAAGGTTTCAAGCATTTTACTTTCCTGAATTAGGTTCTATTTCATAAACTTTTTTTTTAAAGTTCCGTATCTGGGAATTCAGCCAACTTTTTAAATGTGATTTTACGTAGCAGAAAGGTCAACAAGTATGCTGTTTGGCCAATATCCTCTTGATAATACCAAGCTTACAGGTTCCTTACTGAACTCACATTCAGCTTTATTCTACTTAAAAGTTAGCCTATCAGAATATTAACATTTGTTAAAGCTGAATGGTATATACATAATGGTCTATTAGTTTCTGTAATTTTCTACAAATTTGAAATACTTCATTTTTTAAAAAAATTCTGTTTTCTAATGTAGAAAGCCCTAACCAACTCCAGGGGAAAAAATAGGTTCAAATAATTGAAACTTGGTGGTTTAGTCAGGAGCGGTGGCTCATGCCTATAATCCCAGAACTCTGGGAGGCCAATGCAGGCGGATTGCTCAAGCCCAGGAGTTCAAGACCAGCTTGGGCAACATGGTAAAACCACATCTCTACAAAAAGTACAAAAAATTAGCCAGGCATGGTGGTGTGCACCTGTAGTCCCAGCCATTCAGAGGCTGAGGTGGGAGGATCGCTGGAGCCTGGAAGGTGGAGGTTGCAGTGAGCCAAGATCATGCCACTGCACTCCACTCTGGATTTATTTTGAGACCCTATCTCAAAATAAATAAATAAATAATCGATATCTATCTGTCTATAATATATAATTTTCAAAGCCTAGGACAAAAATGCTATCTAAAATCTTTCATCCATTCTTTAAATGGTTCGAGGGCCTATGTAATATTATTTAAATGCAGTCATTTTTTAGAGTTTATAAACTAAAAAAGATTACATTTTCACAACTCTTTGTTTTCTTTATTCACTACCAAAACCAAAAGTTGTTTGGCATGCGATGCTGGGAAGAAGCTGTGTCGCTTCGAGGAGGTAAAGGAAGCTCTTAGAACCAACCTGCAAACAACCCCAGTCTCCCAGACATAGACTAAGTCTGGTCAGAAACAACACTTTCAACATTCATGTAGAAGAACTGTAGGTGGAACCACCCACAGGTCCTTCAGGAATGAGGCACTTGTAATTAGGCAGAAAAAAGGTGCGCTTTCAGAAGAGGGGAGGTTGTTCCTGATGAAAGTATTCCATTTCCTGGTCCAGAGAGAAGACCTTATTAGGGCAAGTTTCATAAGTTCCTCCCAGGACTCTCCCACTATCCTGGGGAGGTTCCCAACCCCAACCTCAGAACACTACCTTGATCAGTTCACTTTGGATAAGTCCATAATAATAATAGTAATAAGCAAAGTTCATGAAGATCCTAAATTGGTGAATGATATATGAAAATTCTACCATAATTATTCCAAGCCATGATTACTACAGTGGAAGCCAAAATAACTGAAAAATGTGCCGGGGCATATTTTCTTTCCTAGATATGGTGAGCAAGGCCTAGGTGAACTTTTCAGATTACCTAAATAACTCAATATTTCACTGTAAATGTCACAAGAATATGGTATAATTTTTCACGGGGCTGCAGAAACTAGTTAGAGACATTTATTTGGTGAATTTAAAGATAGCCTATGTAACAATTCATGTAATATTTAATAACATATGTGTACTGCAATTGATTTGCATCAAAAACCTTTTACAACCACCACCACCTCAGGAGGATCCTATGACATAAGCAGATACTGTTACTTCATCTTTACAGATGGCTTTTTGGAGGACCAGAAAGGATAAATGGCTTGCACCAGCTAATCTAGTAAATTAGAGGCAGAGCAGGACTGAAAACTTGGTCTATGTGAGGCAGCCTCGTATAACAATGGACAACAGGAGACCATCAGACTTGGGCTTGATGCCTAGCTCTGTTATTTACTAGGTGTGTTACCTTGTGTAAATTACTTCACCAACTTTAAATCCTGGTTTCTATTTGTAAAACAAAGCTGATAATCCCTACTTCACAGGATTCTGCAAAGGAATGAGACACTAGGTGAACAATACCTGGGCTATTTGTCAGTCTTCTCTCTATTCAAGAACGCCTTCGCAGCATAGTGACAAGTCATTTAGTCTTCCCAAGTCTTAATTTCTCTATTCATAAACAGAAATAATTCAGACGTACTTGAAAACATTCTTGACTATTTTTTAAAGAACACCATACCATATTCTTGCCAAATTAACAAGTTTGTGCTTTTATGACCTTGCTTCATTTGCTATTTGTGAACTATGCTTGTATAGGGACTCAGTATTTCCATAATGCGAAATAAATCATAAAATCTTCAGACTCATAGCTATAAAATAAAAGATCTCCTTCTCTTAAACACTCCAAAAACAGACACCATGAACAGACGTGGCCACAGGAGGCATGTATTCCGCACGGTTTGTAAGAGCTGCGCAGGCCAGCAAGCACAGGACTATTTCAAGTATTAACTTTTCTATAACTTTAACCATTGTCACTTGTAGTTCTGCCTGATACATTTTTTTTTTTTTAAGCTGTATCTTTTATAATCCGAGAAAACACAACACCAATGTGTTATTCTCCAGAGAAGTCAGAGAAACGGGAAGAAAGCTTTGCTAAAATTCCAACATGCGGTGCCAAGTGCTACTAGAATAGCATCTATGCTTCTTATGGGTACACTGTGAGGCAGAAACGGCTGTAGCTGGCTAATGGAAGTTCCGTATCCAAAAAAGGAAACAGTTCAGCTTTTCGGCAGGATAGCTGATAATACAGACTATTACGCATAAAGGGGGAAAATGAGAACGTAATCTGGCTAAAAGGACTCAATGATTTAGTGGCAAGTCGATATACTCACCTAGGAGCAACCATGGCTTAATAACGCCAACCTGCAGGTCCGAGCTAAGGTCCTGCACATAACCACAACCACCCCCACTGCTCGGCTCTACTTCTTCCACAACATGAATTCTGGCATCTTTCCATGTTTCTATAATTTTCTTTCCAGTTAGCGTTGTCACCCTGGTGCATTGCTTCCTGAGATTATTCCGGGAGAATGCTTTAATTTCCTGGTTAAGGGAGTGCATTACATGAGCAGAGGCTGGGAACAAATACAAACAATCCAGCAGGCACAGAGAAGGGCTGAACTGCTAGTCCCTTATTGCCCAGGTAACAAAGACAGCCTCGGAGGTGCTCGCCCATCCAGGTAACAGCAGCAGCCACAGGCCGAGAGACGGAGTCGTCCAGCTTCGTTTCTCCCAGCGATGCAATGTAAGGCGAAATTTGATTGGTCATTGAGACACAAGTGCCGATTGGATGCTGTTTCTTCTTCCTGTCAGCCAGAAATCTGCATTTTCCCGAAAAGCTCAAGGGATTTCTTATTGTTGCTGTTTACATTTAGCTTTATAATACACGTAGAATGGTAAAATATAAGACTTCGTTGGAGAAAGGGATGACGTGTCCTCGTTCTTTAAAGGCAGTGATTTTCTGGTATATTCTGTTGGTGTCACTTACGGCAGTGACCATAGACGATCTGGGCTGACCTGTATATCGCTACCGCTTGAATGAGACCGGCGGAGTCACCTTGCAAATCACCCTATATCCCAAAGCCTTTCCTGCCCGTCTGCTTTTAGGCTAGTCCAGGAGGGCTAGAGCGGACTTTGCTTCTCGCTTCCTGTATCCTTCACACATTGTCCTTTTGCTGTTAATGCAAGAGGAACGTTTACTAGGTAAAGTTGTTTTGCATATTTGTGAGGCAACAATTTAAATAAACGGGGAAAAAAGATATCTTTTTAAAATTTATGCTCATATATGTAGATAGACAAGAGCTTAAAATTTATGTATTTTCTGACGTTCAGCCTACGTTTTCATTTCATACAGTAAATATACATCCTAAAGAAGAATTACAGCAAGTCATCCATATGAAGAAATACATCAATATGAAATACATCCATATGAAGAATTAAGAAAATCAATTGTGTAAGCATCCAAATTTATAAAACAGATAAATAAATTATAGAACGATGATTCTGATTACCAAAAAAAAGTTTTGCAAAAGAAATCACAAGATTCCTTTAAAGAGAAATTTTTCAAACCCCTATTAAAGTAAATGTAATTTTAAATGAATTTCAACACAATGTATAAACACATATATAAAATGAAGAAGTTGCACTTATGAAAACTTTTCTTCCAATACCACATATTAAAATTTGTGTTGTTGTTGAAACTTTCTGACATAAAATTCAACTGTTATGGATTGACTATTTCTGTCCCTTCAAAATGCATATGTTAAAGCTTTAAACCTCAAGGTGATGGTATTTAAATGGGACTTTTAGGATGTAATTTAGAATTAGACTAAGACCCTAGGGTAGAGTCCTCATGATGGGTTTAGTGGCTTCAGGAGAACTGAAAGAGATCTTCCAGCTCCCCTGTATGGACCGAGGAAAGACAGTATGAGGAAATAAGAAGAAGCTGGCTGTCTGCAAGCCAAGAAGAGAGCTCTCACCAGGAACTGAATAAGCCAGCACCTTGATCTTGTACTTCTCAGCCTCCAGAACTGTAAGAAAATTTATTTTGGTTGTTTAAGCAACATAGTTTATGGCATTTTGTTAGAGCAGCCTCAGCAGACCGAGATATAAACCAAATTTCTCCCTCTTGGAAAGAGAACAGGCCTGGTACAGTGGCTCATGTCTGTAATCCCAGCACTTTGGGAGGCCAAAATGGGTGGATTGCTTGAGCCCAGGAGTTCGAGACCAGCCTGGGCAACATGATGCAACCTCAACTCCACTAAAAAAATACAAAAAAATTAGCCATGTTTGGTGGCACGTGCCTGTAGTCCCAGCTACCTGGGAGGCTGAGGTGGGAGGAACACCTGAGCTAAGGAGTTTGAGGCTGCAGTGAGCCATGATTATGCCACTGTACTCCGGCCTGGGCAACAGAGTAAGACCCTGTCTCAAAAAAAAAAGAAAAAAAAGAAAAAAAAGAAAAAGAAAAAAATTTATATAAGCTCAGGCTATCTGCAGGACATCCTAAAATGAAAAATTGAAGAAACTATTTGCATTTTTAAAACAACAATCACAGGCTCATCAAAAAACAACTCTAACCATAAATCAATCCATATATTTATCATAATAATGATCAAAAAAATAAGTACTATTAAGCATTTACTGCATGGTAGGCACTGTGCTTATAAACAATTTTAGATTCTTAGTATTATCACTTAGCTGTTTAACAATGCTTTACATGCATTATCCTATTTGACCTCACCCCTAACCTATTATGTACCTACTATTATAATCATCTTCATTTTACAACTGGGAAAAACTCAGGTACAGAGAAAGCATATCACATAGTCTACATTTCACAGCTCATAAGTTTAGAATCACAAAACCTATGTTTGTTTCCGTCCAGTGCCTTAATTCTTAGTTACTGTAGAATACTGCCCTGCTTCCAAAATAATTACAGTTAACGAATATTTATTGAGCATCAACTATGTGCCTGGCACTGTGACAGTCATTGGAAATATAGCAATGAATAAAAACAAAGTCCCTTATTTCATGGATCTTACATCCAAGTGGAGGGAGCAAGAAACAAATATACATATACCGATGTTGGGTCACAATTTAAATGCTAAAAAAAAAATCAAGCAAAATAAGGGAACGGAGTGAGAGGGCAGTGTGTTATTTGCTTTAGGGTGGTAAGAGAAAGCACTTCTGATTCAGTGAAAATTGAACAGAGACTTGAATAAAGTGCAGAAGCCAGCCCTGTAGATATATGGGGGAATAGCTTCATAGCCAAGTGTCTAAATCTTCTGACAGATTTGGAATGTCCATGCCAAGTGCTGAAACAGGAGTGCACTAGTAGGAGATGGAGAGGTTCAAGAAACACCTGGGTAGCTAACTTGGCTTTAAGGGAGTGAATTAAGGGAAAGAGTTGGAGGAGATGTGGACAGAGAGAAATGATAAGAACTTTGGCTTGTATTCTGAGTGATGGGAAGCCACAGGAAGGAACTGGGGAAAGGAGTCATATGATGGATCCTGTGTTGTGCTACCCAGATCCTTCTTCAATGAATACCTATTGTCTCCACTACCGGGTGTACTATTGGCTGACTGGTAGGTAACAATGGTAACAATCCCTTCAGGGACTGCTGCAGCTGCAGAGGGCTGCTTTGCTGAGGTTGTGTCCCTTATGGAATAGACCACATCCATGGCTGATTGATGAGGGAGCATAAAGATCTGTGTGTTAGCCCAATTTGGAACAATTCTGAGGAGCCATTCTAGCTCTGAAAAGCTAACGTGTGGTTGGCTAAGCCTGTCATTGGATCTGTATAGCCACTTAACTTCTGTGTCTGCCCAATTCTGCTTTCTTCTTCCCTTCCAGAAGTGTTGATCCCAAGGGCACTCTTTGAAAAGTCTTACATGCTAAACTCTACCTCAGTCAGCTTCCAGGAAACTTAACCTATGACAAGTGACATGACATTGCTTATGCCATAGGAGGGTCTTCCTGGCTACTATAAGGAAAGGGAGCTCCCTTTCCTGCTTGTTGTTAGGAGACTACTACAGAGGTCCAGATGGAAGATGACAGCCGCTTGGGCTAGAATGGCAACAGAAGGAAGGTAAGAAGTTGTCAGATTCTAGGGACACATGAGAATCATGCCAAGAGAATCTGTTAGTAGACTGATGTGGAGTGATTCGGATAATTCCAAAGTTCTTAGCCTAAGCAACTGAAGAATAGATTTGCCAGTTACCAAGAAAGAGGTGATGTGAATATGAGAAGTTTGTGACTTGTTAAGTTTAATACTCCTATTAGTCAGCCAAATGGAGATGTCAATTAGTCAGCCAAATGGAGACATCAAGTGGGCAGCTATACATATGAATCTGGACTTCATAAGAGAGGTATCTGTTGGAAATGCAACTTCTGGAGTAATCAGCTTAAAGATGCTATATAAAGCCATGGAGCTGAATGAGATGGCCTGGTAGTGAGGGTTGATAGAGAAGCCTCATCCATACCAAAGTGACTAACAAGGAGAGGTTAGGGAGTTGAATGAAAATGAATGAGAGAGAGAGAGTTCTGAGAGTACAAGTAAAGAAAATGTATTAAAGTGCAGAGTGTGATCAGCTGTTTCATATGCTGTTGATAGTGTTGGGTAAGATGAAGACTGTGCACTATAATGGATTTAAAGACGCCTTCAACAAGAACAGATCTATGTCCCAGGAATATAAAAACAGTATCTGATTCAATCCCTATGATAACCTAATAAAATAGGTATCCATTCTCTTTTTATAAAGAAGGACATTTAACTTGGAACCTAAGGACACAGCCTATGGTCACACAGTTCACATCTGTTAGGTAACAGATCTGAGTAACAAGGTTGAACACAGTTCTATCTTACTCATGAGTCCATATTCTATACACCACATCATTCTGTAGAGGATGGGTAGAGTTGTTGGTTACATACTGATAGCTGCAGTCCCTGCTGGTAATACTAGAATATTAATGTCTGCAGTAACATTGGTTGTTAATATCCTGACACCTAGATGCTACCCAACTCATATCAACATTTTGCAGAAGAACCAAGGTGCAAAAAAGTAAACTGATTTGCCCAAGTTCACATCCCTTATAATCCCAGGTCCCTTGACTCAATATACAGTGCTTGTTCCACTGCACTGTATGGCTTTCCAAAAAGTCCCTTAAGGGCAAAAATCCTTTACACAAAGCTAGCTTAGAGTGCTGGCAGGAGAGAAATAAGAGGCAAAATGTTATTAGACCCAGGCCAGAGGGAGAGGGCAGCATTCCACCCCGGAGAAGGCATTGCCTATGCTGACGTGTGAATGGTAAGAGATTGTCCTGCAAGAAAGGGTACATCCTTACAAGGACTAAAGGGCCTTGGATCTGAGGAAAAGGGAAAAGTGTGAAGTGAATACATCCTAGAATATGTTCCTGTGTTCTCTGTATAATTCTTCTCTCCTAACAGATTTAGAGTGTCTATGTGAAGTGCTATGCTAGGCATTTTCTGAGCATTACCTCTAATCCTCACAAAATCCCACTTTTAGATAAAGTGGCTAAATCACAATGAAGTAGTAAGCAGTGGATCTTGTATACTTAGTCTCAGGTCTGTTGAATTCTTTAATTTTTAAAATTTTTTTTGAGACTGAGTCTTGCTCTGTCGCCCAGGCTGTAGTACAGTGGCTTGATCTCAGCTCACTGCAACCTCCACCTCTTGACTTCAAGCGATTCTCCTGCCTCCGTCTCCTGAGTAGCTGGAATTACAGGCAAGTGACACCATACCTGGCTAATTTTTGTATTTTTTTTTTTTTAGTAGAGACAGGGTTTCTCCATGTTGGCCAGGCTGGTCTCGAACTCCCAACCTCAGGTGATCCACCCGCCTTGGCCTCCCAAAGTGCTGGGATTACAGGCATGAGACACCGCACCCGGCCACTGGTCTGTTGAATTCTAAGATCCACTTTTATCCCACTACATTACATGCTCTGACATGTTACATAATAAAATCTATAATCCTCATTAATTCGGATGTGAATTATATGGGTAAAAATCATTTATAAATAATCAAAAATCCTCCCCATTGCATTACAATTTCTAGCCTGAGTTAGTAATCTCAATTCTGCACTTCACTAAGAACATGCAGACACAGCCTGAAATGAATATAGAGAAAAACAAAATTCAGCCAAGCATGTTGGCTCACCCCTGTAATCCCAGCACTTTGGGAGGCCGAGTCGGGCAGATCACTTGAGCTCAGGAGTTGCAGACCAGCCTGGACAACATGGTGAAACCCAGTCTCTACAAAAAATATAGAAGAAGTAGTTGGGCATGATGGCACACACCTATAGTACTAGTTATTTAGGGGGCTAAGGTAGGAGGATTGCTGGAGCCCAGGAGGTCGAGACTGCAGTGAGCCAAAATCATACTACTGTACTACAGCCTGGGTGACAAAGAGAGAGACCCTGTCTCAAAACAAAACAAAACAAAACCCACAAAATTCCTCTCACGATTATGGCACCTGCTTCCTGTGTGATCCTTTAGAAGACTTCTTAAAAATTTCAATTAAAACAAGTTTGAATGTAAACTTTCTTCATGAATGTAATTCCTTATGTATAAATTTTTTATTAGAGTATTTTGATTACACAACATTTTTTGGTTATATATGTGTGATTTTGTATATGTATGTGTGTGTGCGTGTGTGTGGAGAGAGAGAGAGAGAGAGAGAGAGAGAGAGAGAGAGAGAGAGAGAGATGGAGTCTTGCTCTGGCACACAGGCTGGAGTGTAGTGGCGCAATCTTGGCCCACTGCAACCTCCACCTCCCAGGTTTGAGTGATTCTCCCACCTCAGCCTCCCAAGTAGCTGGGACTACACGCAAGGGCCACCATGCCCGGCTAATTTTTTGTATTTTTAGTAGAGATGGGGTTTCACCTTGTTGGTCAGGCTGGTCTCCAACTCCTGGCCTCAGGTGATCCACCCACCTCAGCCTCCCAAAGTGCTGGGATTATAGGCGTGAGCCACCAAGTCCAGCCTTAGTTATTTATATTATATTGATAATATAAGAAGTCAATCAAGAAGCAGCTTCTCCACTCCTTCCGGAAACTCCACCTGGTTCAGCCTGCCTGCCTCCACTCCTGCCTCCACCATGTCCATCAGGGTGACCCAGAAGTCCTACAAGGTGTCCATCTCTGATCCCCTGGCCTTCAGCAGCCATTCCTACACGAGTGGGCCTGATGCCTGCATCAGCTCCTCGAGCTTCTCCCGAGTGGGCAGCCGCAGCTTCAGGGGTGGCCTGGGCAGAGGCTATGGTGGGGCCAGTGGCATGGGAGGCATCACTATTGTCACTGTCAACCAGAGCCTGCTGAGCCCCCTTAACCTGGAGGTGGACCCCAGCATCCAGGCAGTGCATACCCAGAAGAAGGAACAGATCAAGACCCTCAACAACAAGTTTGCCTCCTTCATAGATAAGGTATGGTTCCTGGAGTAGCAGAACAAGATGCTGGAGACCAAGTGGAGCCTCCTGCAGCAGCAGAAGACGGCTCAGAGCAACATGGACAACATGTTCCAGAGCTACATCAACAACCTTAGGCAGCAGCTGGAGACTGTGGGCCAGGAGAAGCTGAAGCTGGAGGCGGAACTTGGTAACATTCAGGGGCTGGTGGAGGACTTCAAGAACAAGTATGAGGATGAGATCAATAAGTGTAGAGAGACAGAGAATGAATTTGTCCTCATCAAGAAGGATGTGGATGAAGCTTACATGAACAAGGTAGAGCTGGAGTCTCGCCTGGAAGGGCTGACTGACGAAATCAACTTCCTCAGGCAGCTGTATGAAGAGGATATCCCAGAGCTGCAGTCCCAGATCTCAGACACGTCTGTGGTGCTGTCCATGGACGACAGCAGCTCCCTGGACATGGACAGCATCATCGCTGAGGTCAAGGCGCAGTACGAGATCACCAACCACAGCCGGTACCAGATCAAGTATGAGGAGCTGCAGATGCTGGATGACCTGAGGCATACAAAAGCTGAGATCTCCGAGATGAACAGGAACATCAGCCAGCTCCAGGCTGAGACTGAGAGTCTCAAAGGCCAGAGGGGTTCCCTGGAGGCCGTCATTGCAGATGCCGAGCAGCGCGGGGAGTTGGCCATTAAGGATGCCAATGCCAAGCTGTCCCAGCTGTAGGCCGCACTGCAGCGGGCCAAGCAGGACATGGTGCGGCAGCTGCGTGAGTACCAGGAGCTGATGAATGCCAAGCTGGCCCTGGACCTCGAGATCGCCACCTACAGGAAGCTGCTGGAGGGCGAGGAGAGCCGGCTGGAGTCTGGGATGCGGAACATGAGCATCCATACAAAGACCACCAACAGCTATGCAGGTGGTCTGAGTTCGGCCTATGGGTGTCTCACAAGTCCCGTCCTTAACTATGACCTGGGCTCCAGCTTTGGCTCTGGCACAGGCTCTAGCTCCTTCAGCTGCACCAGCTACACCAGGGCCGTGGTTGTGAAGAAGATCGAGACCTGTGATGGGAAGCTGATGTCCAAGTCCTCTGACGTCCTGTCCAAGTGAACAGCCACGGCAGCCCCTCCCAGCCTGCCCCTCCTATGGCTGCACCAGAGCCCGTGAGGGAGCCTGCTGTGAAGGGTAGCACAGGGAATGGGAGACCCACCTGAGCCTCAGTCTTAGCCCTCAGCCCATCCGCGGAGGGGGGAGTTTACTACCTGAGGACTCCCCTTGCCCATGCCTCCAGCTACAAAACAATTCAATAGCTTTTTTTTTTTTCCCCCAAAATAAAACATTAGCTCTGCCAAATATATATAGTCATACAAACAGATATAAAAACTTCCTTTTTTTTTTTTGAGATGGAGTCTCGCTCTGTTGCTCAGGCTGGAGTGCAATGGTGTGATCTCGGCTCACTGCAGTCTCTGCCTCCTGGGTTCAAGCGATTCTCCTGCCTCAGCCTCCTGAGTAGCTGGGACTACAGGCACACACCACTACGCCTGGCTAATTTTTTGTAGTTTTAGTAGAGACGGGATTTCACCATGCTGACCAGGCCGGTCTTGAACTCCTGACCTTGTGATCCACCTGCCTCAGCCTCCCAAAGTTCTGGGATTACAGGCATGAGCCACCATGCCCAGTTGAGATATAGAGACTTTCTGCATTTCCTTTCAAATATCAATTCCTTGTATGTTTGTGCTAATATTTAAGAATCTCACATTTCCCAAAACCAGTGAGATATTTTTCAAGCTCAGTGAAATAGAGCATGGGATGCTCTCTATTTCTACTTTTTAAAAATATCACAATGAATAGTGATATATGGTATTTTTAAAAAGCAGTCTCCACATACTGTCACAGGATCCTTAGGGCGTCACTCTTCCAGCTATAAACCTCTGTGGCTGGTGATGCCTTTGCCCAAGTTTTTCTCTGGCCTGATGGACTCATTCTGCCCACTTGACCCGGCAGACTGGGCTCAGCTTGCACTACCAGACTGGATCCCATGCCTCAGAAGATAATGGAGCCAGGCACACAGCAGTGAGGCATGCGTCCATGAGCAAGCAGGAGGTCGGGCCACTGTGCACAGTCAGGCACATCGGTTGCTGCAGCAGGGTAGTCAGCTCCAGATGCCAGCACAGATTCTGGCTTCATACAAGCCTGTGGCTGGATCAGATGCATCGCAAGCAGTTCCCACTGTGGGCACCTGAGTATGAAGGGGAATGCGGTGGTGCCCAGAAACTTGAAGATGCCAAAAACTGCAGAGCCCCAAAGAGGGTGTCACAGCCCTGGTTTGGGGAGCCCCCAGGTCTGAACACCCCAAAGGGTGGCAAATCTTCTCGCCTTCTTGTCACCCACAACTTGGCGAGCAGGCAGTGGCAGGGGCGTGTAGTGTTTCATCCCTGTTTGTGTTACAGCTCTTTCAGTCCCACCATTTGGTAGGTCCTGAGTTCTTGTCCGGTGTCCAGGAAGAATGAGGTACATGGACAATTGAAGGGTGAGCAAGGCGAAGAGGTGCTTTATTGAGCAACATTAAGCTCTCAGGAAACCTGAAGTGGGTAACTCCTTTCTGCAGCCAGGTTGTGCCATTGAATCTGCAACCCTCTGCAGAGATGAGACCCAGAGTGGGTAGCTCCTGTGCGCAGACAGGTCATCCTGTCTCTGAGAGTCTGGCTGAGTCCTGGGGTTTTTATGAACTTCAGAAGGGAAGAAGTGCATGTTGATTGGTCCATGGGCAGCCATGGGTGGGACCAGAAATGGCATCATAAGTTGTCACTCCAGGGTTCAGACTCTAACTGAAACTGACAGCCCAGCCCTCATGCTTCAAGGGGTCCCTGGCTTGAAGGTGGAGTTTCACCAGGGACCTGCCCTTTTCCACACAGGAACCTGTCTGTCTCCCACTATCAACATGCTATCCACAGTGCCCAGGCTGTTATTGCCCAGTGGTGCCTGCAGGCCCACGCCAAGCTTCCCTCAGCACCCCTGACTGCCCTCCCATGATTGTCAGTGCCCAAAGTCCCAAGAGAGCTGAGGTGGTAGGGGGCTGGCATGTCAGCACTGGCCTGAACACGTGCACACCTGGCTGGGTTGTGACAGCACCGAGGCTTGCACTAGAGTGGGCACCAGGAGCAGGCAGAGGCCAGACAGTGGGAGGCCAGACAGCAGGCACTTCTGAGGTTGTAAGAACCCTTTCTGGGTTCAGAGCCACAGCTGTGCAGCTGCAACTGTGCCTGGGAGTGCAGGGCTCCTGCCCTGCCAACTCAGTAGAGGGCAGGTCTCACACCTGTTCCTGGCTTATGCTGCTCCACAGAACACACAACCCCAGCCACCACCCCCTATCCCTCCTGCAGCCAGCATCTTCACAGCTGTTGCTCCAGATGGGCCACTGCTGCCATCAATAATTATCTAATTATTTTTTTACTTCACTTCAAAAAACAAACCATTTTAAAATTTAATTTTGAAATTAGGTATATGCTAGACATGCAGGTTATCTTTATGGCAGCCACTTATGCTTCAAAACCATACAATCAACCAACAAACTTTTTTGGAGTGTCTGCAATGAGCTAAATACTCCATTAAAGACTATCAAGGTGCAAAAAAAAAAAAAAGGCATTTCATTGAATTTAAAATGCCATTGATTATGGACACTATTATTTTATGTACCACGAAAAACATAAATAAATAAATATTACCAATTGAACTGTATTAAAATGTTTAAGACATTATTGATTAAAAGATACACCCTCATTTTCAGGAAGTTAATAATGTAAGAAATGTGCATTTTAGAATTGATACAATTCAACAATTAAAACTAGATTTTGACATTCAAATGTTTACAATTCCATTTGGAAGAGGAAAAAAATCAACCCAGAAAAAAAGAGTCACAGGTATTAGCAAATAATAGAAGTTAAAAGTAATACCTGTTTGTGGGGAAACATCTGAGCTTTAAGAAGGGTGTATGTTGGGAATAAAATTTACGCAGCATGGTGGATCTAGATTATGTAAGCTTCAAAAACCAGGTGGAGATTTTTGGGCTTACAGTGTTTTATAAATATTAAGAATAACATGATAAAAAACATTATACAAGCTGAAGAAAATAAGTCAGAGGACCAATCAGGAAACTAAGATAGTAATGAAGGTACAAGGGATTTGACAACTTGAATCATGTTGAAGCCCATAAGAATGATGACCTATAAAGTACTTTTAAATAATACAATTTTTAAAATATTTTCAGAGACAAAGTCTCACAGTGTTTCCCCTTGCTCATCTCTAACTCCTAGCCTCAAGTGATCCTCCTGCCTCAGGCTTCCAAAATGCTGGGATTACAGGCATGAGTCACCATGCCCAACCAAAAGCCAATTTTTAATAAAATAAATGAGAACTTATTTTTTAAAAATATTTAGGGATTAAAGAAAGAGGGTCATCAAAAATAACTTGACAGCGGCGGAGCAAGATGGCCGAATAGGAACAGCTCCAGTCTCCAACTCCCTGTGCCAACGACACAGAAGACCGGTGATTTCTGCATTTTCAACTGAGGTACTGGGTTCATCTCACTAGGGAGTGCCGGACAATCGGTGCTGGTCAGCTGCTGCAGCCCGACCAGCGAGCTGAAGCAGGGCGAGGCATCGCCTCACCTGGGAAGTGCAAGGGGGAAGGGAATACCTTTTCCTAGCCAGGGGAACTGAGAAACACAACACCTGGAAAATCGGGTAACTCCCACCCCAATACTGCACTTTAAGCAAAGGGCACACCAGGAGATTATATCCCAAACCTGGCCTGGAGGGTCCCACGCAGACCGAGCCTCCCTCACTGCTAGCACAGCAGTCTGTGATCTAACCGCAAGGCAGCAGCAAGGCTGGGGGAGGGGCGTCCGCCATTGCTGAGGCTTAAGTAGGTAAACAAAGCTGCTGGGAAGCTCGAACTGGGTGGAGCTCACAGCAGCTCAAGGAAACCTGCCTGTCTCTGTAGACTCCACCTCTGGGGACAGGGCACAGCTAAACAACAACAACAACAACAGCAGCAAAAAAGCAGCAGAAACCTCTGCAGACACAAACGACTCTGTCTGACAGCTTTGAAGAGAGCAGTGGATCTCCCAACACGGAGGTTGAGATCTGAGAAGGGACAGACTGCCTGCTCAAGTGGGTCCCTGACCCATGAGTAGCCTAACTGGGAGACATCCCCCACTAGGGGCAGTCTGACACCCCACACCTCACAGGGTGGAGTACACCCCTGAGAGGAAGCTTCCAAGGTAAGAATCAGACAGGTACACTCACTGTTCAGCAATATTCTATCTTCTGCAGCCTCTCCTGCTGATACCCAGGCAAACACGGTCTGGAGTGGACCTCAAGCCATCTCCAACAGACCTACAGCTGAGGGTCCTGACTGTTAGAAGGAAAACTATCAAACAGGAAGGACACCTACACCAAAACCCCATCAGTACATCACCATCGTCAAAGACCAGAGGCAGATAAAACCACAAAGATGGGGAAAAAGCAGGGCAGAAAAGCTGGAAATTCAAAAAATAAGAGCGCATCTCCCCCGGCAAAGGAGTGCAGCTCATCGCCAGCAACGGATCAAAGCTGGACGGAGAAAGACTTTGACGAGATGAGAGAAGAAGGCTTCAGTCCATCAAACTTCTCAGAGCTAAAGGAGGAATTACGTACCCAGCGCAAAGAAACTAAAAATCTTGAAAAAAGAGTGGAAGAATTGATAGCTAGAGTAATTAATGCAGAGAAGGTCATAAACGAAACGACAGAGATGAAAACCATGACACAAGAAATATGTGACAAATGCACAAGCTTCAGTAACCGACTCGATCAACTGGAAGAAAGAGTATCAGCGATTGAGGATCAAATGAATGAAATGAAGCGAGAAGAGAAACCAAGAGAAAAAAGAAGAAAAAGAAATGAACAAAGCCTGCAAGAAGTATGGGATTATGTAAAAAGACCAAATCTACGTCTGATTGGGGTGCCTGAAAGTGAGGGGGAAAATGGAACCAAGTTGGAAAACACTCTTCAGGATATCATCCAGGAGAACTTCCCCAACCTAGTAGGGCAGGCCAACATTCAAATCCAGGA